TTATGAATTCTTGATTTTGAAATGGTACCATAAATGTTACACAGGAGAAAGATTGGGTAAACACTGCTTATACAGCAGTTCTTCACTCCATTTATCTAAGTTCCCAGAAGCTATAAAATAATGGCACATCTGGCAGCAGAGAAAGTGCTGTTGCATCCAGAAAGCGCTTGTTATAAAAGCTGGTCAGGATTTTCAAATTATCTTGAAGTTGTAGTTATAATTTATCATGAGAAGTGTGATGGAGACACCTGCCAAAACTCTTTTTAATAGTGTGTCTGAAATTGAGAGGCATGTTTTATGGGTTACTTTATAATAGCTGTAAAACTTAAATCTCTTTCAATTATTTTTAAAAATATGTTTTTATTGATTTTAAAGAGGGGCATGGAGAGGGAGAGAGGGAAACATCTATGTAAAAGAGAAACATTGATCAGCTGCCTCCTGCACTTCCCCTTCTGGGGATTAAGGCTGCAACCTGAGCGGGAATCAAACTGGTGACCTTGTTGGTACATAGGATGATGTTCGACCAACTGTGCCACACTGGCCAGGGCCTCTCTTACATATTCTTTATATGAAGAAAATGTGATGAAGCTGGCCATGAGACTACGTAGTTGGCACATCTCAGATAACATGACCGAGTTTCCCACAGTATAACCTTTAATGTGGCTTTTAGGTCTGGGTCATCAAACTTTCTATAAGGGACCAAATAGTAACTATTTTAAACTTGTGGGCCATATAGTTTCTATTGAAATTACTCAACTCTGCCACTCTAACAAGAATGCTGCCATAGACAATAATTAAACAAATGGATGTGGCAATATTTCAATAAATCTTTCTTGACAAAACCAAATGGAGGGCCAGATTTGGCCTGGGGGCCATAGTGTATCTTTTGATACACTGGACATTCATCTTTGTTGAACAGTAAGGATGTCAGATTTGAGAATGGCTAGTGGAGATATTTACATTATATAGGTACGTATTCTTAGAAACATTTCTATGTACCTTGAAGGCTTAAATAAGAAAACTATTCTTAAAACACACACACACACACACACAAAAATAGAAATGAGAGATTTCTATTATTGCTGCAGTTTTCATAAAATGAAATCAGCTTTAAGTTCTGTTGCCGAATTTCTATTTCCTAGAGAGTTAGAAAATATGTTCAATGAATAACCTGGTACTAATTATCTGATCTCCATTCATATGAGTTAGAGTTTAAGTTTATTAATTACATTTATTAATTTTGTTAAATTAAATTCAGAAAAGCTAATGCATATCATTTGTATCTGAGAGAAAAGCATCTTCCCTTAGCCTTGCCGTTTAGAGGCATTTCATATTCTTTACCATCCATGCACATCTAAATCAGCCATTACTTCAAATCTTAATCTTCTTCTTCCTTTGTTGAGAAGGTTCACCAATGATTTTCTTTGTTGCAAAGATTATTCCCAAAACAAACTACATAAAATTATTGGCACTTTATCAAGCAAATGAGAACTTAAAGAACAAGTTTCTTGTTTGTGGTGTTATCTGTCTTGTTGAGAAATGAGTTCATTTGTGTTTATAAAAACATGTACATAAGATGAATTTCTGGTGCCTCCTGAAGACCCAGTATTAATTCGAAGACTGATCATCGCAAAGGGGGCTTCATCCTTTTGAACGTCAGACACACTCTTCTAGACATGCATGTGTTAATGAGAGGGTGATCCCTCTGGCTAATATTTTATTGTGCATAACCACCCCACCCAGAGAACTAAGGAATCTGACTTTCTTTCGGATAGTTGGGAATGGAACCCAAATAGCTGGAATTTCACCAGCACCCAGACGTGGGTGAAAGCTACACAGAACAGGCTGAGAGACTCTGTCCTAGGTTTCCTAAGTAGCATTACAAAGTGTAGTAAGGGGGGGGGGGGAAACATATTGTATTACCTTGTCAGTTTCTGGTATTAATATGGATGGCTTTTCCCTGAATTCTTTCATTTCAGATTTACTCTAATGGAGTCTGAGTCAAGACCACACCTAATTTTTTTTTTTATCTGTCTCTGATCATTAACGTATAAAACACCGGAATGCAGGCTGAGATCGGAGTAAATATTAGGCAGGAAACAAAGAAAGAGCCCTTGATGATTGCTCTGCACAATCCAAAAACTGTATGGCAAAATGGCAGGAGGTTGAGGAAGCCACAGAAATAGGTCGTCAGGCCAGTCTGTATTGAATAAAGGCTTTCGGAATCAGTCTTCAGTCTGAGGCTGTCAAAAATTTAGTCTCTCTTCTAAAAATGCAGTGAAACATCATCAGCTTAAAATGCTAAGGTTCCTGCAGCCATATGTGTGTCTGCATATACACCAGTCGTTTTTAGCAGTCACAGACATGAGGATGGGAGTTGCCCACCCTGCATTGATAAAGCCAAATTGTGTTTAAAAACTGGTGTTTGGACCAGACTGTGTGTACATAAAAAAAGTGTCAGGCTGAGATGTGTGTAACACATAAAATAATGATTCCATATCCCAAGGCTTTTATTAAAGATATTTCATTGTATACAATGCTTTTTTGAAACAGAAATGCAAGACAAAATTCATTATTCATGCTTTATTCATATTCATACAGATATGACTGTATAATGAGAATTAGTCTTCTTCTATGGATATATCTCTGAGTGTCTCAGTCACAAATGATTTTTGAAATCAGGGAAATTATATGCAGAAATCATCTTCACAAAACAAACTTTGAAAAGCAAGACTTGCTTTTGAGAGGGTCCTTGATATATTGCCAAGGGCTTTGTGTTGTTTATTGACATTTATATCAGATATAAATCAGGAAACTTAATTATAAGATGATCCTAATCATCCATAAGTGGATTGATTAAAATGTAAATTTTAATCAACTTATATTTATTCATTTTAAAATTAAATAGAGAAGATTCGTTTTCCAGTGAGTCAAGATCAGTCATTCAGGGCTGAACAATGGGAAATGTGGAAAGTATTATTCCAATTAGGTACCCAGCTGGTTAGACTTAAAATCTGTGTAATAAGCATAGGCAAATATAAGCTTTACTGGACTGTTAAATTAAGCTCTGTATGTTTTCATTTAATTATGCTTAGGCAACAGTTTAAAATATCAGTTCATAGGGTAACTCCACTTTAACTGATTCATTGTTTTGAATTAGCTGTTGTCTGGTAGGACATGGGACCTAATAAATTTTGAATAACAGCCTGGAGAGAACACATGTGGGAAACACTATCAGAGCAATTTTTATTGTATGCCTAAGACATTTGGGTGTTGCCCAACTTCAGTGATTTAGGAAAATCCTAGATACTACCAAAACGCAGAAAATCAGAAGTAGGTAAGACTAGTAAATTGAGTTGACACATGATCAATCATTAAACTCAGAGCATGGCCATCATTTCTCTGTGCCAGTGAGCTGGGAACTATATGTGAATGTGGTTCTGGAGGAAGGAGCATAGTGGTTGGTAGGTGGCGGAAGTTTGCAAGACTCAGTTCTGCAGTTCTACTGCAGCAGATAGAATTAACTGATGCAAGACAGATGATTCTTCCAACAGTGGCATCCACTGTCAGTGCAACATGGCTAAGTTAGTTGAAAACATTTAAAATAGTTGTGCTTCCCTTAAAAAATTATCTGACCTGATTTAGGAAAGTCTTCGAATAACACCATTTTGTTCATTCATTTCATTATAACATTAAGATGCTGTAGGTATATCAATTAGGCTGTGGTAAAATTGGTTTTGTTATGTTTGTTTCACTTAAAATCACAAAACCTATGAATGTCCTTAAATGAGGGCTTACTTTACCAGTAATAGGTAGAGTTATCAATAAATTTGTGGCAGAAAAATAACTTCTGGACATGTTTACAGAGCCATTTAAATATTGTGGGGTTTCTAAAACATACACATCTAATTTTATTTATCATTTTCAGTTAAAGTTTGATATTATAGACATTTTAAGAGTTCTGTATCACAGGAATTTACACATTAAAAATACCCATAGCTTTGTAGGTTCACAGTACTTAAATTAAAATCAAGAAATTGGAAAGTTTGTGATATGGAAACTATACAATGAAATAAATGGTTGAAGGACCCAGTAGGAGCAATATTTTATTTCCTGTGGATTATCATTTTACTTTCAGGATCTAAACAAAGACTGTTGTTTGAATGTTTTAAAACCATTTTAAAATTGTAGAAGTTGGACCTTTGAAACTCCAAAGTGTATGACATGGACAGTTACTGAATAGAAAATGTTTCATAATATGCTTTCCATTTTGGCTAATTTTTTTGTGTCTAAGTGAATGGTCTAGAGAGGAGTTATCCACTTTCTCTAAGGTTTCAAGTAGATCACCATTAGAGCCAATCCTGGCACTTAAGTCCCTGAGAAGTTCAAGCTTACTATGGGAGAAATATAGATTAAATAAGGGTAAAAATACCAATAAAAAAAGAGACTTTGTTTTTTTAAATTTTATTGAATCTATTGGGGTGGCGTTGGTTAATAAAATTATATAGGTTTCAGGTGTACAGTTATATAATGCATCATCTGTATATTGTATTGTATCCAGCCCAAGTTAAATCTTCCATCATCATTTATTTCACTTTTACCTTCTTAGAGAGACTGTATTTCTAAGCATCAGAAATTTCCTATCACAAGAAATCATGTTCAGATGGTCAAGAGATACATCAGTGTCTGAGAAAGATGAGCTTTTCACATGAACCAATAAGTATCTTTCTTGAAGTTTACCAAAATAAGGATAGCCAATAGTCCATCATTTTTGTTAAATTTTATATAACTGTAGACAGATACTGGTAAAAATTCGGAGTTTGTTTGTGTAGGATCCATCAGAGAAGCCAATATGTTACCATTCTCTTTTTAATATCCCACTGAGCATATTCCAGGAGAAGGATGCAGAAGTAGTCAGAGAAGCAGTCCATTTGGACCTGGACTGCTACCCAAAACGTTTTCCTAAAATCCTAACGTGGCTGTGTTTTTCCTTCCCCAAGGACTTCGGCATTATGTTCCTGCATCACTTGGTGTCTATTTTCTTGATCACCTTTTCATATGTCAACAACATGGCCCGAATAGGGACCCTGGTTCTCTGTCTTCATGATTCAGCAGATGCTCTTCTGGAGGTAAAAGTTTATTTCATCTTTGAGATTGCAAAACCCAGAATTCAGGAAATCCAAAGACTATCATTTCTACCTTGTGCTAGATGGTGCTGGGGATGAAAGTATGTGACTGTGTTGAAACTGTGGGAGTATTTCTTTATAGATTAAATTGTTAAAAACAATTTTAAATTAATGTATAAATTTTTGTATTAAAAATCTTTATCATATTGACATTCTTTATTAATGGAATAATGAACACCTTCACTATTCCACACTTAAGAAATGAATGTTTCACAGTAAGGAAATTATTTCTTGTGCTCTAGCTGGTTTGACTTAGTGGAGAATGTTGGCTTGAGGACTGAAGGGTCCTAGAGTCGATTCCACTCAAGGGCACATGTCTGGGTGGCGGGCTGATCCCCAGTAAGGGATTTGCAGGAGGCAGCCAGTCAATGATTCTCTCTCATCATTGATGTTTCTATCTCACTCTCCCTCTCCCTTCCTCTCTGAAATCAATAAAAATATATTTTTAAAAAAAAGAAAATTATTACTTAAATAGATTTTATTTCACATTGATTTATCCAGAAAGTGTATATATTTCAGTTTAGTTATTAATGGAAGTTGTTTTTTTTATAGCAATACGTGTGTACAAATTGCAAAGAATATGTAAAGATTGTTTCCTGTGCATATAAGTGTAAAAAGTTTCTGAGGATATACTGGTTGCACTTTGGTTAACTTTCTAAACCATTATCAATTAGCATTATTAAAGTAGCAAAAAGAAAAAAAAAAGAACAATGTTTCTAGCATAAACTTAAGAAATGAATGTTTGAAATTTCTAATAAAATGTTTATGTAGTATTTATATTTACTCTTAATTACACACTCAGTAATGTTATATAATTAAATAAAAGTTTTTTTCCATATTAAGAAATGTATGTAACTGGTCAAAAATAAACCTACCAAAGTACAAATTGCATGTGGAAGTTGGTCTTAGAATCTGTATTCTGATATTTTATTCCTCTTTGCCCCAAGTTCTCTTTTAGAGCATTTGCTATCACTGTGAATGTAGAATAAAGGATTCCTCAAATAATGATTAGTTACTGCAGTATAAGCAAAATTTCCCACACCATAAAATTTAATTTACCCGTATTTTCTGGCGTATAAGACGACTTTTGAAATGAAAAAAAGTCAACCGAAAACCGGGGGCAAAAAACCAAAATTGCACAAAAATTACCTGCAAATCTTGACGGCAAAGTAAGTCTTTTCTTTGAAGTGGGGGGTAGTCTTATATAGCGAATATAGGCCTAAACCTGTTTTAACTGTAAAATTAGGGGGTCGTCTTATATGCCGGAAATACTGTATAAAGGCAGTTAATCAAGGTTTGAAGTATATATAGCATTTTATTAAAAACTTGGTTCCTATAAGTTTATGAAACAAAAAAATAGTCCTAATGGACTATGTGATAGGATAATTTGGCAGTAAGAACTTTAAGTGCTTCAAGTTTGGCTCTATTCCACATATTTCTTAAAGGAGAAATATCCTATATAATGAAGAGGTAATATGCAAATTGACCATCACTCCAACACATAATATGACTGCCCCCTTGTGGACACAAGATGGCCGGCAGGGGAGGGTAGTTGTGGGAGATTAGGTCTACAGGGGAGGACAGTTGCAGGGCGGGGGGGGGGGGGGGGGGGGGCGGGGAGGGAGATCCAGGCCTGCAGGGGAGGGCAGTTGGGGTGACCAGTCCCATTGGGCAGGGCAGTTAGGGGCAATTGGGCCAGCAGGAGAGCATTAGGCATTGATCAAGGATGGAAGGGGAGTGGTTAGGGGATGACCAGGCTGGCAGGCAGAATCAGATAGGGGCAATCAGGAAGGCAGGCTGGTGAGCGGTTGGGAGCCAGCAGTCCTGGATTGTGAGAGGGATGTCCCATATTGGAGAGCACACAGGCTGGACTGAGGGAACACCTTCCCTGCCCTGTGCACAAATTTTGTGCACCGGGCCTCTAGTAATTAATATAAAAGATAGTACCCAGAAAATCAGTTACCATTTGGTTAAATCCTAAGTATGCTTGAAAGTAGAAATTTATGCAGCACTGCACAGTTTTGAAATCAATCCTGTACAATCTGCCTACTTTAATCTCTGTGAAAATTCTGGCATGATACTTGGCAGAGCCCTGATTCAGAAAATGTTTGTTGCGTCATCTTGTATCACTTTAATCCAGAAAAGAAAAACAATCCAGAAATCCCAGCCATCTGGGTGAAAGCAATGGTCTTTATCACCTGGATCCTCTTTTATATTATCAAACATTGCTCGAGAGTATCCAAATAATGAGATACTTTGACTGCCTACTCTTTGAAGTGGAACCTATGGCTCAAACTTATCCAAAAAATTGATACTTAATTTAATACTTTTTTATTGAATACTGGTAAATAAATATAAAGAACAATTACATAGCTGCCTACCAGAGGTAGAAGATGCCTTTTCTCAATATAATTTGTGGTCTCATACCCAAAATTAAAAGCTTCCATTCAGTTAATTGGTATTTCCCTTTAGGAATATAGTTCTCTCATAGCTTTGTGTTTTATTTAAAGCTATTCAATTATAGCTTCTGTCAACAATCTTTTCAAGTTTGACTCAGCTAATTTAACTTTCCAAAAATTAGAAAATAATTCTGGAGACTTTCAACTTATAATCTTGTAGGGGAACATGCTTATGAATTCTTGGTGAAAAATAGAAAGAGGTGATCAAGCTAAATTATATTTTCAGTGTCATCTGTTTTTTACTTGGAATCATCCGTAAATAGTAGATGATAGAGAAAGGGATATGATTTCTTCCCTGGTCTGATTTATAATATAAAGTCATCACTTGATATTATTAGAGTACTTCTTACAGACACTTGCAACATTAGTGATTTCCATCCAGAAGATGATTCGTTAATGTAACATTGAAAATTATACCTAAATGGATTCATTGAAAAAACATGATATTGACACGTTCTCCATTTCTAAATTTTTTTTAGAATAAACCAAGAAATTATCTCTCCAGAATACTCTTTATGCCTGTTTAAAGAAAACCTATAATTCTAAGGAGAAAATATACATGAAGGCTTCATATATTCTGTATAAATTTTTTCTCAGTGTTTGGGACTCATTGAAGGTTTAAAGAATTATATTACACTTTCCATTATGACCTGTTATGCCAAATTCTTGTTCTGGTGTGTTTGGCTTGCTAATATCATCTATAATGCAAGAATTTTCTTATTTTCCTATTTCTCTGAAATCAACCATATAATTGAATTTTTCAGGTTGCTGAATATTTGATTAAATCTGTGATAGTCAGTAATACTACTTAGAGCTAATGCTGCATCTCACTTGACTTATGGGTAATTTATAAATACTGATGCATGATGCATGACATTGCAAAGCAGCAGGCAGTTTCATGCATCTGATAAGTCATACCTTATAGGAGACTCATGCGTATTGAAAGAAGCTTTTTATTTACCAGTTTGACTAAATTAATATGTCATATTTCTTCTTTTCATAGGCTGCCAAAATGGCAAATTATGCCAAGTTTCAGAAAATGTGTGATCTCCTGTTTGTTATGTTCGCCATGGTTTTCATCACCACGCGACTGGGTATATTTCCCCTCTGGTGAGTGTGCCAATCTTCTTTCTAATAAAGCTACCATTCCAGATAGGCTTTATGAATCATTTTCCGTGGGAATTTACACCAAATACTTAGTAAGAGGTTTAAAGAAAGTGAGGGAGTAACATTGTAATAACTATGTATGGTGTTATCTGGGTGTTAGACTTATTGGGAAGATCACTCCGTAAGTTAATTAAATGTCTAATCACTATGTTGTACGTAAAAAAAAACTAATATAATGTTGTATGTCAACTGTAGTTGAAAAAATTTTAAATTAGAAGTACATAAATAATACTATTTGGGAGAAAGGTGAGAGATGAACTCCAGAAACAGCTTGATTTCTTCTTCCCAAAGAGGTTGCACTTTTTACTAACGTTTCCCACAGGATAATGAGAAAAGGATGTGGCTACATAGGTTTTGAAGCCATGGAAAGCTATCATTTTGGGGTCCAGTGTAGAATATGATTCAAAAACCTTAAACATGAAAGTTGACTTAATAAAAGGAATGTGGTGTTGCAACCAGCAATCCATCAGGCTTCTCCTATAGCAGGGGTTTACAAAGGGTGTCCCTGATGACAGCAACAGCATCACTGGGGAACTTGTTAGAATTGCAACTTCTTGGGCTCCAATCTGTGACCAACTGAATCACAGACTCTGGAGCCTGGCAACCTGTATCTTCACAAGCCTTCCTGCCGATTCTGCTCCACATTAAAATTTGAGAACCATTGTCCTTTATAATTCTCCTCATCAGCTGTATGTATAGCTAAAGGAGATGGAAGGAATAACCTAAAATAATTTTAATCCCTAAAACTCGCTATGATGGCTAGATGTGTTTTGTTTTGTTAAGAGCTAAGAAAACAAGATGACAGATATTGATGGAATGTGACAATCTTTCCTACAGAAAATAGATCCATCGTCATTAATCATTTTTTAGAAGGCTATTACTCAAACTAGAAAAACAATGAGACTTCCATATCACTTAAAGTCTACCATTGATGGCAGACTTTTTTTCTCCATTTTTAGAAATTGATTTGAATGGAAAATTAAAGCAATGGAAATGAGAGAAAGATGAGAAATGAAGGCATGCAATGATACCTTGCTTTCCAGCCCTAGTAGAAAAATAAATGGGGATTTTCAGTGAGTAACATCTATCATTAGAGTTCCATACACAAATTTATCTCTCACACACACACACACACACACACACACACAGTTTCTTCTTGAGGCTGGTGGCCTTTTTGCTCATGCTTGTTTCCAGCAGCAATGTGTAATCCAGTAGGCATTTATAGTTTTATATGGTTGTAAGAAGGAAACATTCAAGTAATTTTGAATATAAATGTCTGTAATTGTGTCTGGATCAGGGATCTTTCAAGAATATTAGCAGAACTAGTGGTAAGAGTTTTAGTAGAAGAAATTCGAGCAAAATCCAGGAATTATTTCTAAAAGAATGTTAGGATGCTTTTCCTACTTTGTATATCTGAGGAACCTGAGTTTTAAAAAAAAATAAGCTTTACTCTCGAGTACTTTAATTTTTTTTATTTTCCTTTAAAGGTAGAATTAAAATTGTGATGTATCTCTTCTCCTTTCTAGGAGTTAATGTGTGAAAAAGCTCTTCAGGTTTAGACAGTAAGGAGTTACCTAGAACATAGACCTTAGAATACAGAAATGATGTAATCTATACTAATAAAAGGGTAATATGCTAAGTAGACTGGGAGACCTTCCGGATGTCCTTCCGGAAAAAGCCATGGTGGTGGGGCCAAGGCAGCAACTGGTTAGGGGAGATCAGACCAGGAGGGGAGGGCAGTTGGGGGTGATCAGACTGGTGAGGGGGTGGGGGACAATTGGGGGTGAGCAGGCTGTCAGGGAGGGGCCAGTTGGGGGGGAGCAGGACAGCTGGGGGAGGCAGTTGGAAGTGAGCAGGCCAGCAGGGGGCACAGTTGGGGGTGATCAGGCTGACAGGGGGGACAGTTGGGGGTGAGCAGGCTGGTGGGGGGGGGTAGTCGGGGGCAATCAGGACAGCAGGGGGGACAGTTAGGGGCAAGAAGACCAGTGGGGGGAACAGTGGGGGTGAGAAGGCCAGTGGGGGAGGGCAGTTGGGGGCGAACAGGCCAGCAGGTAGGCAGGTGAGCAGTTAGGAGCCAGCAGTCCCAGATTGTGAGAGGAATCCCAGATTGGAGAGGGTACAGGCTGTGCTGAGGGACACCCCACCCCTACCCCATGCATGAATTTTGTGCACCAGGTCACTAGCAATTTTTATATGAAACAAAAACTTGGGTCCTTATAGCTTCTAAGCTAGAGGTTCTTACTCTTGGTTAGAACCCCCTGAAATTGTATGAAAAGCGTGTGTGTAATTTTTTCCTGCGGGAGGGGTATGGCTTTATCAGATTCTCAGAGAGATCTGTGACCCCTGTCTTCCTTAAAAATGTGCCTTTTGGAAAACAGATTAAGTATACCTTACCACTTCTAGCTGGAAACTCTTAAGAATGTGAAGATTTCTAGTATGTCATCTGTAAGCTTTCTCTTCACTAGAAAGCATATTTAATTCCTTCTATTTTCCCTACTTGTCATTCTCTTTTGTTTGATTCTCAGAATTCCTCTTGTCATTATGTTCCAAATGTGAACTGGCTGGTACAAAATATAATAAACCAGGCTTTATTTATAACTGTGTTTCTTCCCGTGCGGCTTGCATCAGATTTAATAAGTAGCTTTCACTGTGTACCAGCGATGACCTGATAAACATCGGAGCTGCCTCATCCTAAATTTACTAGGTCTTCCTCATCCTAAATTTATTTCACCTTTATATATTTTTATTTCTAATTATGGTTTATTTGAATAATTAATTGTACAATTAATTATATTTATTCCTGTTAGATTTCACAATGCTGTTTTCCAATATTCTGTTTTTAGAACCCCTCACATGGGGTCTTCTGAACTATAGCCAATGCTATCTGTATTCCTCCCACCTTTATGTTACTTGCATGTATGTCTTTCATGCTTCTTCCAACTCAATGAAGAAAAAAGCTGCCTCAGATGAACTCCTGATACAATCCTGAAGAATTTCTTTAGGCTGGCTTCATTTTCTCAACCACCAGTCTTTCTTTATGATTTTTCTACTTATTAACATCTTAAAACTGCTGTCATCATGCCGGCTGTTTCTCCACATTTCTTTTTTCTTTTTCTTTTTTTAATATATTTTATTGATTTTTAACAGAGAGAAAGGGAGAGAGATAGAGAGCTAGAAATGTCAATGAGAGAGAAACATCGACCAGCTGCCTCTTGCACACCCGCTACCAGAGATGTGCCCGCAACCAAGATACATGCCCTTGACCGGAATCGAACCTGGGACCTTTCAGTCCGCAGTCCAACGCTCTACCACTGAGCCAAACTGGCTTCGGCTGTTTCTCCACATTTCTAAGGTGTAATAAAAGACTATGGTCCTGGCCAGTATGGCTCAATTGGTTGGTCATCATCCTGTACACCAAAAAGTTGCAGACTCAGTCCCCGTAGGCGGCATGCAGGAGAAAGCAGGTCAATGTTATGCTCTCACATCAATCTTTCTCTCTCTCTCTCACCCTTGCCCTTTCTCTCTCTATATTTTATAAAAGATATAAGAAAGGTTCAAGGTCTTATAACAGTTAAGATTTGCTCTGTGTTTAAGACATTCTCTGCACATGTAGAGGAAGGGTAAAAAAAGAATGGTGGGCCCATCTGGCATAACTTAACTTTAGGGGACCATTGTTGGCTCCTGGCTCTTTATTTTGAAACTAGAAGCCAGTTGCACAAAGATTCGTGCAATAGGCCTTCCTTCCCCTGGCTGCCAGTTTTCCTCTGGCACCCGGGACTCAGGCCTTCACTCTGGCCGCAGCGGAGAAGCCAAACCTTGAGGCTTCTCCATTCTGGCTACAATGGAGAAGCCAAGCCTCTTCTGTCTTCAGTCTTCAGTTGTCTTTTGCCTTAAGTCTTAGCTCCACGACTGCATATGCAAATTAACCCTCTATCTTTATTGGGTTAATTTGTATACTCACTCCTGATAGGCTAGTGGGTATTGCAGAGGTATGGTCAATTTACATATTTCTCTTTCATTAGTGTAGACTAAAGGCCCGGTGCACAGGTGGACTCCAGCTGGCCTGCCCCAATAGGTGCCAATCGAGGCCAGGCTAGCCTGGGAGAGGGGCTACAGGCAGTTGTCTGGTCGGCTCTGCTCCCAATGAGGGGGACTAATCGGGGACAGGGCCAGCCGGGCCCATTGGCCAGCCTCAGTGGGCATCATAGCTACTGGTCATTATGGCCATTCCCTCATTCCAATCGCTGGAGATATATATATATATATATATATATATATATATATATATATATATATATATATATGTGTGTGTGTGTGTGTGTGTGTGTGTGTGTGTGTGTGTGTGTGTGTGTGTGTTTGTGTGTGTGTTTGTGTGTGTATATATATATATATATATATATATATATATATATACACGCTCGTGTGTTTGATTATTCATCTGCAACACTGAGCTTGCCAGTCTAAATCTTCCAGTCTTCACATTTTCCATGTTATGTGGGTGTGGACTGTTAATCTTCCCATTTTCTACCATTTTTAATGTACTTAGTGAATTTATTGGGCACTTACGGTGTAGCCAGTACCTGGCTAGATGCTGAAAGTTTAATCAGACAGTAGTGCTCCCTTGGAGCACTTGGAGCTGAATCCTTCCAGGTTCCCTCAGTATTCTTTTTTTTTTTATGGAACTTTTGTTTATTCTTAGGGCATATTTATAAATTGGTATAAGAACATTGGAAAACAATTCAGCATTATTTTATAAAGTTGTATATATGCTTGTCACATGATTCAGCAGTTCATTCCTAGGCATACACCCAAGAGAAACTCTAGTGCACCTAACCACAAGATTATATACATAAATATTCACCATTTGTAATCACACAGAAAATTGGAAACTACTGGCATGCTTATCCATAAAAGAATAGGAAAACTGCTAGATTCCTATGACC